AAAAAATATTTATTTATTTATTTATTTATTTATTTATTTATTTATTATGTATACAACAGTCTGTCTGCAGGCCAGAAGAGGGCACCAGACCCCATTACAGATGGTTGTGAGCCACCATGTGGTTGCTGGAAATTGAACTCAGGACCTCTGGAAGAGCAGGCAATGCTCTTAACCACTGAGCCATCTCTCCAGCTCTTTAAGGTATTTTTCTTTAAGTAAAGCCAGTAGGATTAGGATCAGTAGTAGCCATTTGCTTTAAGACAGTGGTTCTCTGGGCTGTGGTGGCGCTTGCCTTTAATCCTAGCACTTGGGAGGCAGAGGCAGGCAGATCTCTGAGTTCAAGGCCAGCCTGGTCTACAAAGTGAGTTCCAGGACAGGCTCCAAAGCTATAGAGAAACACTGTCTCAGAAAAAAAAGAAAAAAGTCTCTCTCTAGTGGCTGGCTGCTCTACTTCTCTGATCTTTCAGCAAGACAGTGGTTTTTGCCAGGTGGTGGTGGTGTATGCCATCAATCCCAGCACTCGGGAGGCAGAGGCAGGAGGATCTCTGTGAGTTTGAGGCCAGCCTGGTCTGCAGAGCAAGTTCCAGGACAGGCTCCAAAGCTACAGAAACCATGTCTTGAAAAACCAAACCAAACAAACCAACCAAACAACACCCCCAAAACAAACAAACAGAAAAGAAAAAAAAGACAATGGTTCTTAACCCCATGGGTCAAGACCCCTTGGGGGGTCACATATCTGATATCCTGCATATCAGATATTTCCAATTCAAAACACTAATAAAATTACAATTATGAAGTAGCAATGAAATAATTTTATGGTTGGGGTCACCACAACATGAAGAACTATATTAAAGGGTCACAGCATCAGGAAGATTGAGAACCGGTGCTCTAAGACATTCATCCATACCTCCTTGACTTCAGGCTGCCCATGTTAGCCCTACAGTAGCATGCCTGAATCTTCATGGTGGTAGGTTAGGGAGATCTGCAGCCATAAACATTAATTTTTTTCTCCTCTATGAAGCAGTGTGTATCTCTGGTCTTAAGTATCAACGACTGCTGACTTATATAAATACAAATATCACAACATTTTGAAACAAAGAAAATCTAATAATAAACACTTTTTTCTTCTTCAATGCACTGACTGCAAATGCCTGTTTGTCATGGTCACCAATACACACAGCACAAAGTTGCTTTTATGAAAAAAAAAAAAAAAAAAAAAGGAATCAGAGAGAAACATTCACATTGTGGATGACAAAGACTGAAGAATGTACATAAGAAAAAAGAATCGGGCTGCAGAGATGGCTCGGGTTAGGAGCACTGATTAGAGGTTAGGCTCACAACCATCTATAATGAGATCTGGTGCCCTCTCCTGACATGCAGGCAGAACACTGTATACATAATTCATGAATAAGTCTTAAGAGAGAGCCAGGCGGTGGTGGCGCGCACGCCTTTAATCCCAGCACTCAGGAGGCAGAGGAGGCGGATCTCTGTGAGTTCGAGACCAGCCTTGTCTACAGAGCTAGTTCCAGGACAGGCTCCAAAACCACAGAGAAACCCTGTCTCGAAAAACAAAAACAAAAAAATCTTGAGAGAGAGAGAGAGAAAACAAAAAGCACACCCCCGGGGCATACCATTCTTCTGTCCCTTCAATCGAGCTGATCCAGTCATCATGGAACATACATTGCTCTGGCTGGGGTGCGTTGTATTTTTCCACATATTCTAGTTCCACAACCTCTTCCTAGTCACACAGAGAACAGAAAATAATTCAGGGGACAGTTTCAAAGTATTACTTTGAAGACAGAAAATTTGGGAGCCACTTAAAAAGTCAAGGTTTTCTTTGGCCTCAGATTCAGCTAAGAATATAAAAATTAGTAGCCTCAGAAAACTTACATTGAAAGTGGGAATAAAAGGGGAGCTTTAGAAAACATTTAGTTTTATCTTTAATTATGTGTATGTGCACGGGGTACATGTGCATGAGGACGGGTGGAGAAGAGAAGCACTGTATCCCTTTGGAGCTGGGATCATAGGCAGTTGTCAGCTGCCCAATGTGGGTACTGGGAACTGAACTCAGGTCACCTGGAAGAACAGCAAGCACTCTTACCACTGAGTCTTCTCTCTAGCCCCCAAAAGAGATTTTATGTAAGAAAATATTTAGATAAACAAAAATACAAGCATATTTCTCAGTGAGGAGAGAACTCTGTTCTGGAAATGGGCAGTGGTGATAGCTGCACAGTACCATACTTCACATTACTGAACTGTACACTTAAAAATGGATAAAATGACAAGTTTGCTCTTACATATTTTATAACATTTTAAAGTCACAAAATATAGAACTTACAAATTATATTGTAAACAATTTTATTACATTCATTTATCTTGTGTGAGTGTGCATCCATGCATTCCAGAGTGCACACGGAGGTCAGAGGACAATCTGTAGGAATTGGTTCTCTCCTTCCACCAGGTGGGTCCTAGGGATGAACTCAGGTCATCAGGCTTTGTGGCCACTGCCTTTACTCAGTCAGACCATCTTGCTGATTCCAAATATTCCTTTTGTTTTTCTTGTTCCAGACAGGATTTCACTATATAACCCTGGTTAGTTTAGAACTCATATGGAGACCAGGCTGGTGAACTTACAGAGACCTGACTACCTCTGCCTCCTGAGTGCTGGGATTAAAGATATATACCATTACTCTTGGCTGTATTCCTTTTGTTTTAGATTTATTTTTATTTTGTATCTTGCCTGCATGTATATGCAGTGCTCAAGCAAGCCAGAAGAAGGAGTTAGATCTCCTGGGACTGAGTTACTGACAGTTGTGAGCCACCACGTAGGTGCTGGGAATTGAACACAGATCCACTGAAGAGTAGTTAGTGCTTTTAACCACTACCACTTAGCTATCTGTCCAGCTCCTGGTGATAGTCTTAGTTATAAAAACAACATTAAAGAAAGTTTGCTGGGTGGTGAGCACACCTTTAATCCCAGCACTTGGGAAGCATAGGCAGGCAGATCTCTGTGAGTTTGGGACCAGTCTGATCTACAGAGTTAATTCCAAGACAGCCAGGGCTGTCTTGAAAAACAAAACAAAACCAAAAACAAACAAACAAACAAAAAAAAGTTTATAGGGTATCACAATCACTATAACCTAACCCACATTTTCTGAGATATGTACAATTATGCTGTACTCCTGTATATATAT